GGTTAATATATATTATTATTTTTCTCCCCTGTCGGCTAGCTACTCCTTTTACAACCCTGTGTTCCACATTTCTTTCTCTAATAACCTCCCACATACGGCTTCTTTATTCACTGCAGAATGTTTTGCTATAATTGAAGCACTCAATATAATCTCAATCTTACCAACGAATAAATTTCTCATCACCACTGACTCACTTTCTTGTCTTCAAGCTCTCTCTTCTACTGCTTTCAATTTCCAAATGTATCCCCTCTTAATCACTATCAGATACATTCTATATTGTTTAACTGAATCTGGCACGGTTTTTCAGTTCCTATGGATATCAGGCCACACTGGTAACGCCGATAACGAATTTGCCGACAAATTAGCCAAGTTCTCGGCATCTTTCAAATGTTCCCCAAGCRCTCAAATTCCATGGTCAGATTTTACCCCCATACTTAGATCTTGTACATCCAACCTAGGGCTTAAACACTGGGGATCACTCCCATCCCACTTTGCCACATGGTATAGAAATATATCCCCAGGTTTCACAACTTTAATATCTCCAGGAAAAGTATATCTTCATTCTCCCGTCTTTGTTTTGGCCACAAACTACTCCCTTTTCATTCTTTTAAACTATGTTTGAATGATTCTCCTCTCTGCACATTCCACAATAACCCTACGCTTTGTGATATTAGCCACCTAATCTACTCATGCCCCAGCCTATCAACCCAACAGGATCATCTTTTTTCCCAAGGTTTTTCCCTTTTAAAATTTGCCAACATTCCTATTGATACTAAAATATCTTTTCAAGCCAACAAAAAATAAATATCATTTTGTACGTTCTAACCCTTTTTCAACCATATAGGCTTTTTAATCTAATCAGACATCTTTTTTTTCTTATTTGTAAATAGYTTATCTATGTCTTGTATTCAATGTCACTTAGGGCCATTCTTACAATGCTCGGTTAGTGCCTGATAACACTAACCGGAAGAATTTATCATGAGTTAACCGRTAGAATTCTAYCGGTTRGTCTTAACCGACACTTAACCGGACATTGTAAGAACGGCCCTTAATTGTTGAAACTAATTGTGATACAAAGTTTAAATAAAAAATAAATATATATTTTTAAA